GTTACTATTATAATTATACATAAAGAATAAACATGAAAAACAAGAAATAAAATGCTTAATCAATCTTCTTTTTTCTTGCTGTCAACTGTTTAAGAGAGTTAACCCTATTTTGTTTATACTTATGGTAGTAATGCACTAAATAATTTGTATTTATTTAAATAATGCACCAAAAATATAGACTAATAACATACAAAAGTAGACAATTATCCCTAACTCTCACATTTTTCTGACTTTCTAACTGTGCGACAAGAGCTGGTACAAATTCATCCAAGCTATTTGTTAGCTTTCTCATGCGAATGATGTTGGTACTCTGAGTGGACTTGACATTTAACCATTCAGAACATAATGTTATACAATACGTCATTTGATAAATGAAAATCTTGACTTTTTATTGGTTATAGGTAATATATAATTAAACATAAGAGAGAACTATTAACGAATTCTGAAAGAGAGGATGTGACAGGTAGGCGTGGCAGGAGGGGTCTGATTTTCTATTCAATAGCTCTGTAACCAAATAAAATTGAAGACTATAAAAATTATGTTTTGTCTGAGCAATGACAAGTTTATAGAGAGTTATTTATGTTTTATTTCGTACTTTTTTGAGGGGTGGCAGATTAAAGAAAATGTGTCATGTGGGTCACTCTAGGGGAAATTCAGGATTTTTTTTTAAATATTGCCTTGTAGAATTAAGAACTAAAAACTTATTTACTATTAAAATATGGATTATTAGCTAAGATTTTATGCTATACTAATTGGTATAACGTAAACAAAAAATAGTTTAATAAAATGTGAATGTAAGACACTAAAACCTTGTGTCATGCGCAGTAAAGGATACCTTTGGTGAGAGAGTTAATACAGCATGTGTATCTTCACAAAATTGGGCAGATTTTTAGTAAACATTACAAGTCTTTTGTACACAAAAAATCAAATTTTTCTAATGAAGAATGTTTTTTTCTAAATACTTGTCCATGAATATATAGCCTTTTTTTTACTAGTTTGAGTGCAGTGACTTCCACATTGAGATTAAAAATATTGTTTTTCATCTCAAATTTCATTTGGTTAAGTCTCTAAAACTTCCTAAATAAATTTCAAACGTTTTTATTTCAGTAAAACTTTGTTTTATCTGTTACTTTCTCTACACTAACCCTACAAATTGACTAACTTTGTAATCACCAAAAAAAATATATATATATCTAAATTACCCTTTTCTTTCTTTCTAGAATGACTTCAAATTGTAACATGATACATTTGTTTATCCTAAACAGCTTTAAATACATAACAGTATACATCTATTTAAACTTAAATTTTACTTCTTTACTGCCCTTTGAACCACGTCTAACTGCTATTCATACCATTATAAACTGTCATTCACTTGGCAGATGTGCAGCTCATATTACCCAATCAAATTACATTACGCACAAGCTGCTCGTGAGGATACCTCATGAAAAATATGTATATTATTTATTTTAATTAATCTAACTTTAACTAAACTAAAAAGTTTCCAATTTATACATTTTAAAAGCTTTTATAATAATAAATAAAGTACATTTTTGGGTGTTTTTTTTTTTGCTGTCGACTGTCATTGATACTTAACCCTAATTTTTATAGTAATGGTAGTACTGCAATAAATTTTTTATTTAATTACATAATGCACCAAATAAAACAGAATAACAACATACAAAAAACAAACAATGTTTAAAAATTATCATATTTTCTACTGGCTTTCTAACTATGCAAAAAAAGCTGTTAAAACTTCCTCTAGAATAAAGCTTGAACTGAGAAGTTGACAATTCTCTGTACAGAAAACAATATAGTATAATATGGCTTTCTAGTAGTTATAAATAATATATTATAGAAAGTCAAAGAGCTATTGGCAATTTCTGAAAAAGAGGATGTGACAGGTGGGCTTGGCAAGAAGAGTCTGATTTTTTATTTGATAGGTCTTTAACCAAATAAGATCGAAAGCAATAAAACTTATGCTTTGCCTGAACAATGACAACCTTATAATGAGTAACTTAGGTTAAATTTTGTACTTCTTGGAGGGGTGGTAAATAAATTAAGAGAAGAGGGGATGCCTAGAGAGAAAATATCACAATTCTCATACTAGGGGAAATTCAGAATTTTTTAAATATTGCTTTATAAAATTATGAACTTAGAATTTATATAATATTAAAATATGGATTATTAGCTATGTTTGTATGCTATATTTATTGGTATACCAAATAAAGAAAGTAGTTTAATTAAACTTTGAATGTAACTCACTAAAACCTTGTGATATGCACAGAAAAAGATGCCCGTGGAAAGAGGGTTAAGCTAGAATTCCATGTCTGTATAGTCGCAGGCTACAGGAGAAAAACACAGATCTTGTAATGTGCTCACCTCCACTCTACTGGACAGTCACAAGCTGCAGGAGGAGGGTACAATCTTGCAAAGTGCTCACCTCAACTCTACTGAACAGACACAGACTGTGGAAATAATTATATCATATCATTTGTTGTGCTCATTTCAACTACACTGTACAGAGTCAGGCTGCATGAGGAGGGAACAAGTGTCATGTTCTAAGTATAGTTATATGAAGAGTGACCTGCACTACTCTGATTGTGTCACCACTGCTTCACTTCCCACTGATTAGTACCCCTTGTTCTAGCCCCAGCAGTTAGGTCCCAATCAGTGAGGGTTATCCGTGATCCACCACCCCAATGGCTAGGGACTGATAAGTGGCAAGAATCTCCTGTTCTGCATTCAAAGAAAAAGGGGAATGAATTTGTGGTGGAAAGATCCAGAGAAAATGTCTGGATCCTCATCAGTTCTGTTTCAACTGAAAAGGACTTTTTTTACTGGAAACAGTACAATGGGTACCATGTATCCCTATTTTGGAAAGCCAGCAAGCATAAACCAAGGAAGCAAGCAGAGCACCCCTGTTGCTATCTTTTCCATGATAGTCCATGGAATAGGTGAGGTCTAGATTGGACAGTAGTCAGGTATACAGTTATACCATAAAGATACCTCAAATGGTTCTTGCAAAACACCCCATCTAAACAGGTGGTATGAGTACTTTCTGTTATCCTGGGTCGGTGCAGAATTTTGAGATATCCTGGAAGGCACCACCAGCCACTTGGTGGGATTCTATAAGCAAATGCTGTAATAAGAAAAAGGAAACTTACCTGTCTAAAGATGGTGGGTAGACTGTAGGATGGCAAACAGAGGCTCGAAATTGGCATGAGTAAGAGCATACAGGATGAAATTAAAGCCCCAGTTGGGCATGGGAACAGGGCAAGTAGGTCTACGGATAAGGAAGGACTGGAACAAAGTGGAGAGAACTGGAGAGGAAATACCTTACAGTAACGAGAAAGATGTCTTAAACAAGGCCATCCAATAACCTGTAAAGGTGAAGACAGTTGATCCACTATTGAACAGCCAAGTAAAAGGAAGAGAGATGGCGATTGGTAGGACAGTCAGGAAAAAGGTGACAATGGATGGACCAACATCAAAAGACATGCCATTTACACATGTAGATGGAAGACAGGAATGGGAAAGGAAAGGTTACTTAATTGGAAAATCTAGTTCAATGGGCAGTGAACTGGACAAATTCCAAACATGAAGGTGGAGGGACAAGATCCCATGATGGAACAGTGAGGTTGATACAGAAGAGACAGAGAGAGTATAGTTGGCAGGAGAAGAAGGGGTTGGGATGTCAGGTGATATTGAAGAGGAAACCAAGGTTGAGCCAGCCAGAGAACACAACAAGGAGTGTCTTAAATCATGGCTAGGACGTGATGTAAAAGACAAAGAAGTGGGTAAGCATGATGAAAAAAAATAAGCTCAGCCCTGGTTGAAGATGCCAACAGGGCTAAGAAAGGGGGTCAAGGAAAGATCTCTTGTCTTGTTCTTTTTCCTTAGTTTTATAAATTTTGTTAACCAGTCTTTCAGGATAACCATTCAATTTTAGAATCTCTGGGAGATCTACCCTTGCCTCCATTAAATCATCAGGGTTGTTACAAGTACATGAAAGTCTCATTAATTGGCTAAAAAATCATAGCTGTCTTCATAGCCCATTGGTGTTGAGAGAAAAAAATGTAGAAGTGGCAAATTTTGTGAGGGTTTTCCATATATGTTACTGACCACCTTACTATCAAATACAGCCATAGAAGTGTCTAGAAATTCTAAATGATAAAAAGGTAGAGCATATTTGAACATAAACTTGATATTATTGTGAAACTAGTTTAGCGAATGATGAAAGTGAATTAAGTTGTTCAAATCATCATTCAAAATCCATAAATATCATCAATAAAATGCAGCCAAGAGGCAGAAGACTGTTCTGGGCCTGGTATTCAGTTACAGTTTATGCAGGCAAATTACAGCAAAGGCTCTAGCCACCCTGTTACTCATGGCTACTCCTTACATTTGATGGAAAATTTGTTTTCCAAACCTGAAAACATTACTACATTAAACAAAATTCAGGAGTCTGTGCACATTTGGCAAGGAGACCCCATGGAGATCCACATTAGTCTTAAGTTGATCCAAGAAAGACATAACAATGTCACTTCCCTCATGTATTGGAATGGATGGATATAGAGAAGATAAATCAAAAGAAAAAAAGGATGCTGTTATTGGTGATTCTATGAATGCAAAAGTTCAATTGTTAAGAAAATCATATAAAGTACATTTCACATCATGCACTGGAAAATACTTAGAATATGATCAACTCCAATGTTAATTGAAACAACCTTTGGCTCTAGCTCAATTGAATCAGATAAGTCCTTCTCACTGATAGGTGAAAATGCAAAAGAAGTCACAAATATATGTGTGCAATGCTCAACTAATGTTAACTCTTACAAACAATGGGACAAGAGGAATAAACACAACTTTAAAATAAATGATAGGTTTGGTAAGATAAATTTTTATTCACATTATGCATAAAACTGGTCACCACTCCTTATTAAAAATGCTTCCAAAACATTTTCAGGCAAATTGTAAAAAGTCTGAAATATTTCATTTTTCTACCTTATATAATAATGAAACCCCTGCTAACCATATGTACAAGAAAAAAAAATCAATGTGACCCTGGTTAGATTGTGATATCAAATATTTGATTAAGTATGCAAGAATTTGTTCAACCAATAAAATTAGCCTACTTCAAAATCTAACCAAAATTTCTTCCAAATATGAAATGATTTCATAAAAACAAACTTATGTTGCCCATAGTAATATCAATTCAATTATATTACCTACAGGAAGGCATTTTGCTCATGACAGGTGTTTTTCCAAATTAATGTCAAGCCCTGCATCAGGTTATAAAAAGTATCCAAGTGTAACTCACCTTCCATGTCTGACATCTGTTGTGAAGATCCAGAACCAGGCATACCACTATGATTATCTGGAAGTAACTCAGATCCTGGAGGAAGCTAAGCATATACTTTATGGTTAGCATGAACACATACTGGATAGCATTTTTTGCATAGGCTAAAATATTCATTAATATTGAAAAAGTACTAATAAGAGATTTACAAAACTTGTTAACTTGCCCATAATTTTTTGAATATTTCTCAACTGTATCTACAGAGAAAGAGTTCACTGTTTAAAAAAATTGTTTAGCAGTATGACATTCAAAACTAAATCATCACTTGAAATTGCTAATTCTAAGCTAATTAAAGAAGCAATGCTATCATCATTGTACTGAATTTTGCTTCTTTATTTTTTCTTAGCTTACACTTTATTGTTTGTACCAAATGTATTCAATATGTGCAGAAGTTGGAATTTATCAAGTCCAAGGTTAAAAAATAATGTTTTACTGTTTACAAATGATGAATTTTGGAACCATTCAGTGAATTAAATATCTGGTTTTTATTATTGAACAATTTCTGTTACTGTGATAATTTTATGCACAAACATATAACAGATTTCAAAGTATAATTTCTATAACTAGAAATTTTTAAAACTCATTTTAATATACAAAAGATGACAGACCATGCACTAATATTATTTAAATTATGGAAAGATTTAATAAAATCTGTTTTAACTATCTTCTTCCTAAATGCAAATGCAAGTGTGTGCATTAAAATGCAATTGTAATTCTTTTTCATTATAGATTGAGACAACAAATATTAAATCACTTCTTAACTTTATACATGGAACAGTTGTTTTTTTTTCTTTTTGGAATACAGGGATGCTTCAATCTGTACCCATAATCATACCACAAAACACACTACAAGGATTTTGGCAAAAAATAAATAAACAATGTTGCAATAGTTATATTTGTGCTTTACACTTAAAACTTTTTTATTAAAGCCATCTTGTCATATTAAGTATAAAAAATCGAAGATTCAATCCCATTTTTTGTAATTTTTTGTCCAAAACAGTGTTTAAGTAGTCAAATAATTTTAGTACATACATATATAGAAGCACAAGTTTATCTCCTAGTAAATTAATCAATTTTCTGGAAGAGATCCTTGTGATAATATCTACATTTTTTGAGTTACACATGGATGAATAAAACAGTTTTTTCTGTTCACGCAATTTCTGAACAATATGATTGGTCATTTTAACATACACAAGCCTCCTCCATACAAAACGTACTATGCCATGTGAGCCAAAACAAAGATTTTTTCACATATGCAGTATTATTGAGAGGAATACTATAAGTATGATAAGGATATATGTCTTAAATAGATAAATCTTTTAAATAATGCTGTTGTATTATAGTTGGACATGAATGAAACAAAACCATAGTTAGCAGAATATGGAGTTGCTGTATTTAGATCTATAGTAGGTATGTGTAAAAATGCAGAACAAAATACATCTCTGTACACATCATTTTTCATATGAAAACTTTGTTCTTGTGGATAATCACTATCTTTGAATAAGATCTTAAGATTTTTTCTTAATCAACTCTTAGTTATAAAATTAGTGAATTTTTAAAGTTACAATATCAAGAAGTGCAAAAATCAACTGTCCTCATTTTTCACTATTTCGCTTATTTTTATTTTTCCTTCCATAATGGTAGCAACTGTTTTTACTCTCTGCTAAAGCATTATCAAAGCATACAGTCCACTACCACCAATAACTTTAGGCTTAATTGTCGACCTTTAGGCACCTGTTGGAATGTGTATTGAGATGTAATGGTACTGTGTTATTTGTAATCAAGGGAAAGGTAAAGAGGTAATTTAATGTGCTTCCTTACGTGTTTATGTTATTGAAATAACTGTCTTCAAAGTTAATGCTATATACATCATAGTTTTGTGCTCATATAAAACAATGCACATTAAACATCATTCACTTTTGCACCTGTATTAATGTATACGTACCACTATACAATCAGCCAATAGGAATATTGAGTTTCCACATGAGCTATCATGCATGGACTGACTGACACACATTGTTCTCTTAGTTATATAAATACCTACTAATGCTTTTAATGCAGAAACAATGCACTTTGTAATACATATGGTGTTCACTGACAATATTTGTGCTGCCCATATCAATCTGACAACAACTAAAATAACCTGTGTGAGTTAGAAACTTTTCCAGTGAAAATACAGTTACTTTAGTTACAAATAAATATATGATTAATAAATCTATACAAAAATAATTTGAATCTACTTTTAATTCAGAAATAATGGAAATATTACAAAAAAGTAAAATGTAAATATATTAAGAAAAATAAAACATTTTAGTTCAATATAATAGTCCTTAGTTTACTTAAAATTATTATACTTTGGTCTGTAATGTGGCATGTAGAATTGTGGGAAGCCAACTGATTGTACTCCGATAACAAATGATAAAAATAATACTGTAATTTAAAAGTAATAAAAGTAGACACACAACACAATTATCTGTAAACATATATCATCATCTCAATATGCACTTCATGAAATGATTTTAAAATATACATGCATAATGAAAGTAATAAATTCCTTCTAAAAGTTTTTCTAGGCCATTTTCATTTATAAAAAATACAAGCTCATGAATACTTACAAAGTTAAAAAAAAAAAGACTAATGATATAAGTAATGTTAAAGAATAAAAAAGGAATTACTAACCCCAATAATAACAACAATAAACATACTTTAAAAAATACTCAAAACTTGAATGCTTAATGATTTCATTATGAATGAATGGATGAACATGGATTACTCTGACAAGTACTTTAAACCTTTTACTACAGCTGGATGGATTCCACCAGCCCGTATCCTTTATAGGTAACTATAAGGCAGTTATACTGTAACTTTTTAAAATATATGCATACCTTCATGAAATTTTGCAAATTATCCATAAACATTTCAAGGCTTTCATATACACAAAATATCAGATTTTCTAATTAATGATTTGCTCATACATTTTTTGTTTTCGAATGTTGACTATCCTACATGCAAATTTTGATTTTAAGCTTAAAAATACTTTTATGCATCATAAAATTGTCAAATTTCACATGTGAATTCTTTATGATGCCCAGATAATTATCAAAGTTTTTTAAGAAAAAAATATTTTTTTTTTGATATTTTCACAATTGTATCTCTGTATGGGTTTGATTGATTTGACCAACCTTGTAACCACCATAAAAATTAGGAAATTGACATAAATTATGCTTATTTTTCCTTCTACAATAATTACAATTTATAACATGAAACCACAAATATATATATTTTAAATTGCTTACATTATAAATCTATATATACTTATTATTTTAACTTTATTGACCTTCCATCCGTGCCTGACTAGCATTACAGAAGTTGCAATGAAGCAGTGCACATGCACTCATGTTATCTTATCCAATAATATAAAACTGGCCTTTACAAAGTGCAACTGTCTTAGCTTTGTCCTATTGGACCAGTCTTTTGTAGAATACAATCACGTTTTGGTTATAATACATTACATAAGTATATATATTATTGCTATTTACAAATAAATTCTTAAATTTCAGTTATTTTTCTTAAAAAGGAAAAGCTTTGTTCATAACCAATGGAAAGTTGAGACTCTATAATGTATTGTTCTGAAATACGCAAGAAATTATGGAATGGAATGAGGATGGTGTGGAAACAAAGGGCATAAGGATAATGAATAAAATGCTGAGCAATACACCAATATCTTTCTCTTCAAAGTATGGCAAATAGTTTTGTTAAACAGTCCTATAGCATGTTTGAACCAGAAATGTTCTATTCTAATTACTTATAAGACATTAGTGTTATAACAACACATTTATCACATCTAAATGATCATTTAAACTAATTTAACCCTATGTTAGTACCATAGGTTTGCCATACAACATTAGTATCACAAGGTTGGGTCGCACCCCCACCCAGAAAAAATAAATAATAATAATAAATATGATTTAATATTATAACTAAAATATATCTATGTATACTTATAAGTTAAGTATCTTATGACTGATTTCATAGCATTTTGCTTAATTTTTAAAGTTTGGGTAGTGTTAATAGAGTAATAATGAAATTATTACAAAAAATCACTCATATTTTATTTGACAAACAATAAACATCATTTCAAAAGTAAAGTAAATATGTTTTTTAACTAAACATCTTCTTAAGAGTTATTTTGAGCAAAAAACTTATTAGTTTATTAACATCAACAAAAATTCCTAATCTTCTCACTTTCAGTGTTGCTGTCCATCCTCAATGTGAAGAAAAACACAAATAATTTTTAATTTCATAAAAAAACATTACTGAGGCAAAAATTCCTTCATATTCAGTACAAATTAGCTCTAGAAACACTAACTGAATTAAGAATAACAAAGAAATAATGGTATAGGCTTTCCCAGAAATGCACCTTCATTCAGCACTATGGGGTGTTTGTGCACCGGAGCAAGAACAAAACACGTGTTGCTTTCAATGTGGATGAGGTAGAAATGGGAGGAACTAGGTACACACTCTATCAGGGATATGGGGAAGGTACCATAAACAACAACTACTATCATCTTTTAGTGATGAGGTTAACAAACATACTTAGGGTTCAAAAACACCCCATGTGAATAATGGAGGGTTAAGTTTCCAGAAGGGAATCACAGGTCTGCTTACTATTACTTTTAATAATTTGAAAAGCTATACCTATATCATCAAAGCATAAGTGAACTATACATACTATTCTGTGCCAGTTTAGAAAAGATATTTACACCATAACAATTGCTGTTGTAAAAAAATCTTGTATAAATAGTGTTCTGACCACTAATAAGTTTGTTGTGTCCCAGTTGGCATGATAAGCTCTGTACTGAGAGAAAAGTATCATTTATAACAGATATGGTGGATATAGTGTGGTTGAAATACTATTACACACACTTTCTTTTTGGAAAAAAACCAAAGGGATTGAACAAAGAATTTAAAGTCAAAAATATAATAGGCCTAATACAAATGCTTTATGAGAAGTATAATTAGTTATACATGCTTTGCCAACATAGAAAAAGGCATTCATACCATAATAACTGTTCTATTATATTGTATACTTTTCTATTACATTGATATAAAAATGTGATGCCCTAAAACTCTCAAAGTTGTAAGCTGAAATATAGGGTTAAATAAGTATTTTTTCTGAAGTTGTTAGTAATATTTCTCAAATCTGGTTGAAATCCTTCAGTCAAAATTAAAAATCTTAAAAACTGATAAAATAATAACAATTGTTCATCTTTCACAAGTTGTTTCTCAAAGAGTCATGTTTGGAACATTGTTGTAAATGGGAGGTGAAATTTTTTGATCTAGTTGTAATTGGAGTACATTAAAAAAATTGCTAATAGTTTGAAACTGCAAACTGATATGTTTCTTGATTTTAAATTATATGTTTAAAGTTAAAGAAGTTTTTTTTAAATGTGATGCTCATGAGAAGTGCTCAGTTAGGCCTAAAGAACGTTTGATGCACGAGTACAAAAGGGTCATACAGGGAGTAATACTAATACTGATTTTTACGTACATGTTCAAACTAGGGTCCTAGCAATTATGCAAATGAAATATAAAAAAAAATTGAATAAAAGTATTTTTATTCTCAACTAATCCACCTTTTGGTTTTTTTGTCCTGTGCAAAGATTCAGTAGATTTAGTAAATTAACCAAATTCACTTCTATAGTTTTGAGTCCACTGATCCCAACAAGCAAATTTGGACATTTTGTCCCCATCAGTTCTAGTTTTACCCTCAAGCAATTTTGTACTAAATATTTCCACTGATTCCAACAAGCAGATTTAGACACTTTGTCCCCATCAGTTCTAGTTTTACCCTCAAGCAATTTTGTACTAAATATTTTGCAACAGCAGGTCAAAAAAAAAATTGACAGACAGAATTTTTAGTGGGTTGGTTGCCAAGAGCAAACAAATAGTTTATTTCATGCCTGAGAATCTTTCTTAAAAAACTGAAATATTTGTGACCTCCTTTGTGACAAAAACAGATTTCTAAATATCATGTTCCTCATAATAATTGTTAAATATTCCCACAGATATAACAAAAATTGGGCAACATCTGCAACCTATAAAACAATTCTAATTTCTTATTCTACCATCATCATAAAATTGCTTAGAAATTTCCTAGTACTTTTAAAACAAGTTAAAATCAGCTTGAGCGACCTTTAGGAGAAATCTCATATTATTTTGTTTGTGGTCTTTCTAAATTTTATTAGCTCTTTCTTACACAATGTCACAAAATTGTGAGTCATGCACCAAAATAATTTTAATTATCCTAGGGAAAAAAACAACTAGGACAGTTTATATAATAAAGCAGTTTCTCTTGTGACATTATAGCCCCAGGAGAATAATTTTTCTGTATCACATGGTAAGCAAAACTACTAAACGTAGACATTGCAAGAAAATTTAATTTTCCTTCTTAAATATATTGAACTTCAAACAATATTTATCATACTGCATAAAGTATTTTTATATATTATTTGTATACTGCTTATGAAAGAGATTTCCATCAGAGAGAATTTTGCAAGTAATGTGCAAAAATATTTAATTTATATTTCTTCTCAATGAAGTTTTACCTTCAATGCCACTTCTATAAAAAATTCTGTCATGAAGTTTAGAAACATAATGAAAAATCTTTACTGAAAACTACAAGTACAAAATGTTTTCACATCAATAAATTATTTACTTTTCAGTTAATTTAAAAAATCAAATACTGGTGTAACTACAGCGTGAATTATGATAAACATAGTAATATAAACTATGAAATATTGTATCAAAATAATGGGATAAATTTGTATTCAGAAAACAAATGAACACTGATACTTACATTTTTTGTAACCTCAAATACATTACAATATAAAATTGTTTTAATTCAAAAGAACCATCAGATTTGAAAAGCTAAAATAACTGCAAGTTTTATAATTCAACATCCTCAAATTATCAACTTGTTTTTATACAGTTCACTAACAGTTAATTCTACACACTGCATCATACTCATTAATTTATGTTCCTTACAACTCTCACTGTAAAGAATTATCCACATAAAAAATTGAGTAAAACCATTTATTTTACATGTAAATATACAAATACAATTAGGACCCCAATAGCAATTATGGGAATTAATTGCAATATTTTTGGTATTTTGTTCAAATTTTGTGTGTGACTCATATGTTATTAAGGACTATGCAATTAACCTAATCATTGGACTACAAGCAGTTTGGAGCATAAACAACTTAGTAGAATGTGTTTAAAAAGCCAATGGGTTTCTCATCCGTAATTCTACAGTTAAGAGTATTTTACAATATATTTTTTAAATACTCAAATACATTAACTTGAATCTGTACAGTTTCTTAATAAAAAACCCTACATGTACATAAATATTCCTCCATGTGACAACACACAAACCATTACTTACTAGATTTTCATATATCGGAGGACCTCGCTTTGGTGGTCCAGGAAAATGTTCTCCATCTGGACCTAAAAGCCAATTAATAGATATGGGATTAAAGTATCATTATAAATTCCACTTACATATACTTTTGACTGTATGCTAAATTAAAATTGTTCGGTGAAAAGTTTATACGTTTATACAAGCAGCTAACTTGATAAAATAATAATTTGGACCTAAAATGTATGTCTCCACCAAGATACATATATCCATATATACATATATGCCGATATGATATTTACTGCTCGGCAGATCCAAGAGAAATGCCAGGAGCAACACCGCGACTTATACATGACTTTCCTGGACCTGACGAAAGCTTTCGACACGGTGTGTAGAGAAGGACTTTGGCGCATAATGCACAAGTTCGGTTGTCCCACGAAGTTTGTCGCTGTAGTTCGTCAGTTCCATGAAGGTATGATGGCAAGAGTGCTCGGTGACGGAGAAGAATCCATAGAGTTTCCTGTGTCCTGTGTCAAGCAGGGTTGCGTGTTGGCACCAACACTGTTTAGTATGTATTTATCAGCATTGCTGTCAGACGCCTTCAGGGATGGTCCGAGTGGAATACACCTGCGATATCGAATGGATGGAAAGCTGTTCAATCTTCGCCGTTTGCAAGCACACACAAAAGTTTGTTTGACTAGTATCAGAGACCTGTTGTTTGCTGATGATTGTGTGCTGAGTGCGACTTCGGCGGAAACGATGCAACAGGAGCTCGAATGCTTCGCAAGGGGATGTGGCGATTTCAGTCTTACAATTAACACCACCAAGACGAAGGTTGTGCTTCAGCCCGCTCCTTGTCGATCTCTAGTTGATCCAGAATTATCCATTGACGGTGTGAACCTGGAGACGGTTGAGAGTTTTCGCTATCTTGGAAGCACGCTCTCGAAGGATGCTAACATCGACATAGAGGTTGACCACCGGATCGCAAGTGCGAGCTCTGCTTTCGGAAGACTCCGTCGCAGTGTGTGGGAGTGGAGAGGGCTCAGACTAACCACCAAGCTGAAGGTCTATCGGGCAGTGGTATTGAGCGTCCTACTATATGCCAGTGAAACATGGACTGTGTATCAGAGGCATGCCAGAAAGCTTAATCACTTCCATCTGTGCTGTCTCTGCCGGCTCCTCCATGTTAAATGGCAAGACAGAGTTCCCGACACAGACGTTCTCAAACGTGCTGGTGTCCCTAGTGTATACACGCTTCTCCACAAAGCACAAGTCAGATGGGCCGGTCATCGCGTGAAAATGCCAGCTGATAGAATACCGAAGCAAGTTCTCTGTGGTGAACTTAGTGAAGGTAAACGATCGGTTGGAGGACAGAAGAAACGTTTTAAAGACTGTTTAAAACTATCCCTGCAAGAGTTCGACATCAACCATGTGAACTGGGAGTCGCTCGCCCAGGATAGATCTCTTTGGAGAACGAAGGTCCGGCAGGGTTCGGTGACAGCAGAATGTAAACGTCGATTGGTTGCCGAGGGGAAGCGTGCAGCTCGGAAGGATCGGGTGCAGTCGACTCAGAACGGGACACCAAGCATATATGCCGTGAATGTGGTCGAGGCTTCCTGGCTCGGATAGGACTCCTGAGCCATCTCCGTATCCACAGATAGACCAAATGATGTCGTGCTCTTCTTCGAACTTCGAAGGACGAACAACAACAACATATATCCAAACATAAACTTAAATGAAGTCTCCACTTAGTGATAAATAGGGTATTAATATCTTTGTTTCGTTACAGTTTATTAACATAAAAAACTAGAGGGGCACTCAGTAGAGCACATCCTCTGCCATGCAGTGTTGATCATATTCAGCCCTCAAAAAGTACAAAAATGTGTCTGTATGTCTGTCGTTATCAATGGATATGGACCTTTCAGGTAGGACAATGAGGAATAATATTCTACATCTGTGCACCAAGTTTCTTCAAAATCCGATCATATTTGTCCGAGTTATAGAGCAAAAATAGTGTGAAAACTCAGTCCCCATGTTGACCCTTCAAACACTAATCACTTCTAAAATGGATCATAGTCCAAATGAATACCAACTTTTGTCAAACTTTTGGCTGCATTCAAGAAATCTTGCTGACAAACACATAGGGGTGAAAACATAACCTCCTTCACTTTCGGTGGCGGAGGTAAAAATGAACTTAATAAACAGTTTTCTCTTACAAGACTGTTTTCATTTGCTCAATACAAGACATTGATCAAGCTAGCTCAGACGTGATAATAATGAAATATAAAGTAATTATGAAAGAGATTAGCCAAAGAAGAAAAAAAGAATTCAAATTGTATTTATGAAGCACCCATACCCTATTAATGTTATACTGTAAGTCCCCACAATTTAATTAACTTGGACCTTTACTTGACCTTCATAAGTTAATCATGTCTAGAACTTTGTATATAGTTTATGTTGCATATGTTTGATCAAAATATATATATACCCAATCTTGAGATATCCTATTCACAAGGTCAGAATGGACAGAAAGGAACAAACCAATATACTCCACTCTGCTTCATGAAATAGTGGTAGCATAATAAAAACTGTCAAAAAGCAATGAATAGATATCAAGTAATAAAATTTCATTACATATAAAAATTTAGCTCACCTTCTAGACCTGGTGTCTGTAATAAGGGACCAGGGCCAAATTTACTGCCACAAATATCTGGAAGTAGCTCAGATCCTGGAGGCAGCTAAACATAGACCAATAGTTTAAAAACTGACGTACATGTAAATATATTTTTCAATAAAAATAAAAGCCATAATGATATGTTTGAAAGCCTTATATATATTGCGAACCATAGTATCTGTCTGAATGTTCGTCTGTCTCCCATTTAAGAAGGTGCATAAGTAGGTAAAGCTCAAGATTCACTTTTGAAATGACAAGAGAACAGGCATGAATAATTTATGAAAAATGTAACTTAGAGACAGCAAATTACAAAAAATCTCAAAAACATAATTTTCACATTCCCATTTTCTTATTCGACATTCACCATTAAATTTATGCTTTTCTATCTTCATTGTATGAAAATCAATTCAAAATTTATGTTCATCTTTAACAATTATATTAAAAATGTTCTTGATTTTTTTTACATTCTAAATTTACGTCAATGAAATCAATTACAAAGCATATTCTATTTATTTATCCATACTAAATAAATAATATACATTCCTTAGTAAAATTCAAATTATTAAGTCTTTTTGGGTCTTTTTACATGAACATAGTTTATAAAACAGAGTTAGTTCTGAAACTTTGCTAAACTGCTTTTGCTCTAGTTATTTATTTTTCTAAGTCATCCTTCTTTGCTGTCACATAAGCTTTCTCATGGAAAAGATTGCTGAAGGGATGCATAGTTGAATACGCTATATAGATTTGGACAAAGATCTTAACAACTGACAAGCCGTGTGATGCCTTAAGGATAATACTCCCTGAAATAGATATCATACGTGCTCCAAAACAATTTATCTTTCTGGTTAGTAGAGAGAGGTAGTTAGTGATATCTGCTGACTGATACATTGACGGGCCAATTAATCAATTAGTACACACCTCCTACAAACCTCACCCTCCAATACAAGCAAAAAAATTCAGTGTGAGCTGTCTCCAATATATTTAAATCCACTGCATTATTCTAACATAGAATTAATCTTCCTATGTTAATTCACATTGTTTAGGTTTTTTAAAGTAATTTTCAAATTACGCTTGGTTTCATATCATAAACCTCTTCTCAAGGTTGCCTTTTGCTCATTTTGTGAAAAAAAATATCAAAGTGACAGTACTATCACCATTCTCATTAGCTACCATATCATACCTCTTTTTTTTTGGTCTTCTTAAGAATTATTTTCTAATGTATTTCTCACACTGTACCACATGGTATATTCATCTAACATGCAAGTTGTTGTATGTAAAAAAAGTAACATTTAAAAAGATCTACACTGAAAGTTATGAGTTTATATTTTAGTATGTTTAAAGTTGGCTAACTTAAAACTAAACAGTAAATACATTTTCTTAATTCAAGGATCTTTATTGTGAAAATTTCTAATATTACAGAACTCGCATCTAAGAAACCAAGAAATCATGAAATTTAATGATAGTTTGCAAGTGAAACAAAAAATATTACCTAACTTATCTATAGTAAAATTACATAAATCAAATTTATTACACAGTAACAACAAGACCACATTAAACAGTAAACTTACCTGTAATTATAACTTTCCTTTGTCTAAAAATATTTCACATATAAATTCTTATATAACAATAAGACCATAAAAACTTATCTATAATAATACCTTTCCTTTGTCAACAAATATATGTATGTGTACTATATTAGATGATAGTATGCTTATACATTTCAACTTTTCAATGCTAATCTAGTACTTGTACATATTTATGTAACAAGATCGGTGAATACACAAGTAAATATTACTCACTGGGTCTTCATATGGTGGTGGAGCTCGTCTAAGTGGACCAGGATAATTTTCTACATCTTGTCTTACATTTTTCTGTGGTTTAAGTCCATGAGTTGGAAGAAGAGGTCGCTTTCGAGGTGGACTTATTCCTTCTGAAGGTGAGCCTATTGGATGTGGAGGGGAAGAGGGTCCATCTCTATGATGCAGTCTGTTTTCATGCCAAGGTGGATACATTGCAGGCCCAATTCCCCTTGAATAACCTGTATCTTCCTTATCTCGTGTATTCCACATTGTTTTGCTGCTATCCTACTTTACATATATAGTATAAAACACTGGTAAAACATTTTTGATTGCAAACACTAATAAATGATGTCCATCTTAAATCTTTTCCATTACATCAATACCTTCAAAATATTCACCTAATATTTGAATTTAACTAATCACGTACCCATATACAAGGTTATACCTCCAGTCAATAATTTTCTTGTCTGTTCAATACATGTTCAGAGTGATGTCAATGAAACCACAAAACCCAAAAACTCATCAACTATGGACAGTAAACAAATAAGGGCAAAAAAAATAGATGGTGACAGACACACAGATGGATGAAAAATGTAGGTTCTAATTAGACATTAGTTCTAAACAGTGTTATATTCAAAGATAACTTGACTTGTCTTTGTATGTATGAAAAACTTGAGCCTTAACATTAAAATCAGGAGGAGTTCAGAAGTTTCTCAAACAAGGAAAGATATGAGGGCTGTTGTTCCACAAAACACACGCAGAAATAAACTAGATAAAAGGTAATAAGGATATATTAACATCTCTAAAAAAATGTTATTTTGTGTGAAGTTTTGGGAAGACACCCTTCATCAGGCTGTAAATACTGTGTTAGACATAATCTAGGCTAAGAAACAATCACTGAATGGTTAGAATGTATGGTGGTTCTAATTACTCTTGTTAACTGTAGAACATGTTAACAAAAATATTGTTTGAGAAAAAAGCACTGTATCAAAATTTAAAAGAAAATGGATATTTGTAGTTAGAGCAAATGAAACTTAAATTTGGAAAATAAATATATAAATCAAAAAATTAATATAAATAAATTCACTAAATATTAAACTTTTTTTTAATAAAAAATATGTATGATTATTATATTAATCAATATTAATAAAATACCACAGCTTGACTGAATATTATATCACAAATTTGGGCAGAAAAGAATCTAGCTTTTCAACTACAAAGTTTTGTCTGAAAATGTTCCAATATTCACTTATCTTCATAACATCGTGAACAATTTATTACAATAATATCACTAGAACTGAGTGATTAACTCAGTTAATCAATATAATTGACTACATTGATGAGTGTCATGTAAAATAATCAATTGGCATTAAAATTAAAATAATCAACTAGTCAAAATTAGTGTTTCCAATTATTACTGTTTTTTATTATTCCAACTAATCAACATATTGCCATCATGATTTCTAATTATTTTCAATTTCAAGTTTAGCTTAATTGATTAGTACCACAATTCATGAAAATAATCAACTAATCAAAATTACATTTTCCAGTTATTACTATTTTTAGTCATTCCAACTATCTATATAATCCAAAAGCTACTCAATGGGCTACCTGTGATGTGCGATTTATCTCATTAAAGCTTGTTTTTTTGCCATCTCATGTGAAAATAATTGATTAGGTGAAAGTAACTCCCTTTTTCATTATACACACATTTTGTTGCAACTCTTTGGTCATTTCTAAATATTAAAACAATGTGTTTCATTATTCCTATTTTGTGAAGACTAAGTGTGCAATATAATAATCTTATTAGCAAGATTAGTCTACTTTCATACCATTATCACATATAGCTTACCCTTCAGTTGCTGCTTCTCTCAGATTCACTAAATGTTTTGTAATTCCACACAGAGTATTAACATGTTTTGAAAGTTATTTGAGCACTTCTTGAAATACAGTATGAACTACCACTAGTAATAAATAAAACTGAAGCTCTATTTACACTATTAAATAACTTAACATGTGATACTTCAAGACTCATAGGGAATGATAAATAAAACAAGTTTTAAAATTAAAGCAAATACATTAATATCCCGAGTCTTAGCTTAAATCTGCTTATCCACTTTCTTTGGCTGTCCAACTTTCAAAGCAGTATTGACAATACTACTAGTACTAATATTAGTACTACTACTTTAACTTACAGATTAAAATATAATAAACAGCAAGGGTAACGAACTGATGAAACAATGGATTCTAATCATTGTAAGTAACATAGTTTGAACATAATGTTTAATTAGCTATGCTTATTACTGAGTATATTTATAGCAGTCATGTTTTATGTACTGTGGATAACTTGCTTTGAACAAATATTAGGTATAATTTTCACTATACGTATGTAGTAGTACTAATAGTTGTACTAAGTTATAATAAACTTGTCTTTACTATCTAATTTTGATAGTTTGTAAAAACACAGGTATGGACCAGAAGAGATCCAAAACCGATTTCAAAAGCAAAGAAACAAGGTTAATAATAAAAGATAATTTTTAATTTCTGTAGTGCATATTGGTGTATAGAAGACATATTAATACTAAAATTAAACAACCTTATAACATCAAAATGTCATTTAATTAGACACTCAATGTTTCACTTTACAGCTTCTTCAGGAGCATTCACTAAAACCAAAACCAAAACTGACAGTACAAAGCTGAAATTATGTTATCATTAGTAGACTACATTCTGTACAAGAGTATACTATTAATATTACTAGTAGTATTGTTATTAGTATTAACAATACTAGTACTAGTAGTATTACTAAATACCCCAACTTCAAGCTTTGTACTGTCAGTTTCAGTGTGTTTTACTTTTAGTGAATGCTCCTGAAGAAGCTGTAAACTGAAAAATTGAGTGTCTAATTAAATAAAAACATTTTGGTGTTATAAAATCGTTTAGTATTAATAAGATATTACATAAATTAAAAGTAGCAGTTTTGCTTATAAAAATTAATTTTGTGATTTGTACATAACCATAACAATGAATGAATGATGCAATTATGTTATTGTATTGAACTGCATTCAATTTCAAAATTCAATAAAATAGTATACTATTAATATCAGTAATAATATTATTAGTAATACTAGTACTAGTGGTATTACCAACTATCCCTGTTTGTAAGCCCTGTAATAGTGGTATATCATTTAACATAAACATATTATACAATTACAGAAGTACAATACTACAAACATCGTATAGGACATAGACGTACATAATAAGTTGCATTAATAAGAAACACCCTTTTTAATAGCAAAATAATGTGATAAAACAGACCCGTTCCTGTGCAATTCTGTTGGTTCAGATCCGTTCCGATGGTTTTGTGGACCGTTATTTTGACTTGAACTGTTGAAGTTTGATTGAGTTTGATAACCGAGAATAGGATTTTGAGTTTGACAAGGTATATCGGCTTTCAGTTTCACTTAGATTAGTCAGAGTCGACACTTAACCTTTGTTTTTAGTGTTACAAATACGTAAACATTACTTAACCATAATATTCTTGCAAACTAGCTTTCAGAGCGTCAACCTTAAATTAAAATTTTAATATTTTACAATCTTTCAACTAACACTAACGGAGCCTTTTTTACTTAACAGTAGCATACTAACAATAATTTTTTTCGGCAGTCGCGTTAGAACTTAGACTGTTGTTAAAGGTTCTAGTAGTAGCAGTAAATAAAAAGGTGGTTCAAACCAAAGTAATAATAGAAATCCCTATCTTCCGTGTCACACGTAATTTAATTAAATCTCATATTTCATAATTTTCACTCGGATTATTACGAATTCTTCTCTAAAGTACCTGCCTAATAAGAATAAAATATATAATGGTGTTAAACTAATTAAAGAAAGCTACTGATCTGAAATAAAAGCGCTTATTACTAACTAGCATACAATACCTGCGCTCCGCTTCTGGGTTCAAAGGCTCCTGGGGTCTGACATGGTCGGGTGGTTATTGTTACGTCTCCGTTTGTTAATTAACTTTCCATAACTTCGTTCCTACGAAACTTTAGCGACA